CTTGCTTAGCTTGGTTTGGATAGAAGGATTCAGTCCTGGCAATTTAGCTTGTGCAATGGAATTGGGAGAGGGTCCTTGTTGGGTTTTACCGTGATTTGGAGATGAATATAATTTCTATGGTATGCGAAGCATGGAATGTGTAATGATTCTTCTTCCTAATGGGATCAATGGAAGCTCTTGATTAGATGAGTTACAGTTCAGTTCTGAAAAGAAGTTCATAAAATTCTTAGGCAACGGGTAGCCTCAGGTAATCAAGGAAATGGTACTGCTGAATGGGAGTGATTTGACGAGAGCAAATGTCTCGGAAAAAGGGGTAGTGTGATTAAACTGATGATACTACGTTAGTATTGCGGTGCTTTCTTGCTAGATCGACTGCTGATATCTGAGTTGTGTGATGGCACGGGGGAATTTTAGAATATCTTCCGTGGAATGATTGGGTACTTGAGGTGTGATGTATATTCATATGGCGGAATTTGGGATCAAGTACAGTGATTCGTGTGCTATAGGGAGTTGGAGGCTGGGAGTTCTCAGGTTCAGACTATGTAGTGGTTGTGGATCGTGTGTATTGGTACCGTTAGCGGCTATTGGGATTTGGAGGCCCGAATGGATCCTTCTTGCTTGGTATATTTGATTTTGGATATGACATTGGGGGTAGACTGGTTGTCTCAGTGTTGGGTTACTCTAGACTATTGCGCTATGGGCTATGTCGGAAAATGCCACAGGTTGCGTGGCGAGGTGCATCGGATTATGTTCTAGCAGAGTGGTTTGTATTCCAAGGACCAGCGGACGGCTGGGAAGGATTGCGTTTTCTTGATTGGGCCTTCGTGATGGATGTCAGTGCAGAGGTTTCTACCGTTGATGCAGTTCCGGTATTGAGGGACTTTTTCGGATGCGTTTCTTGTGGCCGGGCATGTCGCCGGGCGAGATTGTGGACTTCGGTATTGATTTGGTGCCCGGCACCGTATCGTACGGCTCCGGCAGGAGTTATAGTAGTGGAAGGAGCAGCTTCGGGCTTCTTGGTATTGAGATCGTTGGCAGGCCGATGTGGCTACGCATTTAGCTTGCGTTAGCTTGGTTGGCCCCGAGTTGTATTGTTGAGGGATAGGTTGATTCGATCGTTATTGAGCTTGTTAGTGATCTAAGGAGATCTATGAGTTGTTTTTTGTGCTGTGAGACGTTATGATTTGTTGGATATGGGCACATGTGGTGCGGTTCTATTGAGGATTCATAGAGGAAGTCGAGCGGGAAGAGTAATTGAGTGTTGCTCGATGTATGGAGTATTGGTTAGGCCTATCGGGTTGTGTGCCGTGTGTTATTTGTTTCACCGTGGGTGTAATGGATTGCTTGGTTTCAGACATCAATTTGTGCGTGGCTGTCTATTTTGAGCATGGTGACTTGAGGTGTTTCATGTGTAACAGTGTTTGGATAGGATCGCGCGCTGTGGCGAGGCCACGGGGAGTTATGGCCTTTCGAGGTAGATTCAGGTGTTCTATTTCAACGATGTGAGGCGGGGTCTCGGCCTTGTGTTGTAATGGTATTGATGAGCTTGAGGTACAGCTCTTCTGTTTAAGTCATTTGTCCTGATTTGAGTATGTTCAGACCGTTCCTTATCGGTGCGTGTATTATGCGAGTTGTGGCTTAGGCCTGTATTGAGGCGTCGTATCGCCAGGGGGGTGTGTTGGATTCGAGGTAATCGTTGGAGTTATTAATGAATTCGGACAGATGTCATTTCAGCTTGTTAGAAGGATAATATCGAGGTTCGGCTAGGATATCTGTTGTGGTATTAGTCAGAGGAAAGTGGCTTCATGAATGTTTGATCTGAGGAATGGTTACGGCTTATCGCGTGTTTCATTTGTTGTTGGCAGTATACGAAAGTGTTGGAATAAGAATTTAGCTAATAAAGGGTTTTCTATCTGTATTTGTTTGCTGTGGGTAACTACTGTGAATAGAAATTATCGTTTCGAGTGTTTGGATTATGTGGTATATCATATGATCTCACCTGAGGTTGCAGGTACGAGTTATTACAGCTGGTTCGGGTTTATTCTGAGTATAAAAGTGAGGTCCTGAACTTGTGTATAATTTCGGGAAGTGCAATGTGGTTCTACGGTTTATGGTTTAGATGGACTGTGAAATTTCAGCTATATTGTGTTATCGGACCTATGCGAGATAGGGTGATGAGGGATCACCCCGGGTATATGCTTGGTAAGGTCATTCAGCTATTGGGTTGCTTCTAGTACAACTCGGGGTACGCTCGAGGACGAGCGTTTGTTTAAGTTGGGGAGGATGTGACGACCGACCCGTCGTCTCATGTGTCGCTGCTTCGTTTCCCTCATTTTATGCTTCTTCATGTTTCGTTATCGGTATGTGGTGCGTTAGAGTTGATTTGGATTGGTTTTGATAAGAAATGAGATACTTAGTCTCTTTAAGGAAGGCTTAAGTTGGAAAAGTCAACCGGACGTTGACTTATGAGTTATAGGGCTCGGATGTGATTTTCGGTGATTCCGTTAGCTTCTGGAGGTGATTTGTGACTCAGGAGTGCGATCGGAATTGATTTTGGAGGTCCGATGTAGAATTAGGCTTGAATTGGCGAAGTTAGTATTTTGGCGAAATCCGGTTGATAGGTGAGATTTTGATCCGAGGGTAAGAATGGAATTCCGAGAGTTGCAGTATCTTCGTTAGGTGGTTTTGGATATGTGTGCAAAATTTCAGATTATTCGGNAGATTGAGAAAATGTTAGTCTTTTTTCATGTATTGTTTCTTAATTAATATCTGACGATTATCTATAATTATTTAGAAGGTTTAAGTGTTAAGTTTATTTACATATAATTCAAATAACTCAGATATTTAACATGGTTAATGTCAAATATTAAAATAGAGTAAAAAAAATCACTAGATAAAGAATTTTTTCATATTTTAGATAGCCAACTAAAATGAGTTTTGAATTAAGAATAATATTTTCAATTACATTATTATAAAAATAATTATTATTGAAAAATAATGTTTTAGAAACTGAAATTTTAAGAAAGAAATATTTTTTAAGAGATATCAACACACCAAATAAGAGTTCAAGTAGTAAAAGAGTTCAGTCTTATCAAAAGAGTCATTCATTGTCTCAACATTTGATTGTTTTTGCCATAAATATGAGTTATTATTTTGCTTTCTGACTATTTTTAGGATCCAATGACACCGGCAAGAATGATAAAAATAGAATAAATGGTTAATTTTGTTCATGTAGTTAATATCCAATGATTATCTATATTTACTGAGAAAGTGTAAATTTTAAGATTATTACATACAATCCAAATAACTTAAATATTTGACATGATTAGTGTCCGCGCATCCGCGCGGGTACTAATACTAATAAGATATATATTAAAGTTCTTCTTCCAGTTATTTTAGGATATCATTCTTTCCGAATGGAAGCAACTTTGACTCCAACAAGTGAATTACTATTTTTTTCTTTTCTCTTTTGAGAAGATAGAATGTGAAAATCATCTTCTTCAATATTATTACTCCTTTCTCTCTCTAAAATATCTCTCCCTTCTCTCTAAATGTCAAACGCCGGTGCTAACCCCACCTGACCACCTGACCTACCTGACCAAACGGCTAACCCAACGGCTAATTTCATCACTGACATAGGCGGAGCCACCGCCGGAAAACCTACCACAGTGCCAAACCCCAACGCAAACAACCAACAAACACCTTCTGATGCCATTCAAATTTCCAATTCCTCAAATAACAACACCTAAAATCACACCCAACACCAAATGGCTAACCCAACGGCTAATTTCATCACTGGCACAGGCGGAGCCACCGCCGGAAAACCTACCACAGTGCCAAACCCCAACGGAAACAACCAACAAACACCTTTTGATACCATTCAAATTTCCAATTCCTCAGATAACAACATCCAAAATCACACTCAACACCTTAATCGCAATCATTTCCCAAAAATTTCGAGCAATTTCGAGCAACCCCAACCCAAAACCTGCCATACAAATGACCTAAATCAAAGTGACCAACAGTGCATGCAACCTCAAAATAGCAAACAATTACCTGAATCTAAACTTCCTAAACAACATAATGAATTTGCCCAAGGGAGTAATTACAAAAAAAGCAAGCAAATAGTGTCGAAACCAACCTTTGCCGCCACTGTCCAAACCAGCCTTCAATCTCATGACACGAGCGCCATGGTTGAGATTCAACACGGCACGCACCTTGGTAAATCGGTTGTTTTCTTCAAAGCAGAGGACTTTTTCATTAACTTAGCTAAAGAGTGCAGATTCACTATCATCGGTAAGTTCTATCGAGGTAAACCAACCATGGAGGAAATTAGGAAGACCTTTATTAGGCAATTCTAACTCACTGCCTCTGTCAAGATAGCTTATTTTGATCCTAAACATGTTTACCTTGACTTCGCTAATGAAGTGGATTATAATCACGTCTTCACGAAGGATTATATTGACATTGGCGATGCCCCTATTAAAATCCTTAAATGGACTCCGAATTTCAAACCGGAGGAGGAAACATCCATTGTCCCTGTTTGGATCCTAATTCACCAACTCCCTGGGCACCTGTTTAAATGGAATATTGTATCCAGACTCATCCAAGATGTAGGTGTGGCTGTGGCTCCGGACATGGCAACATACTCCAAATCTAGAGGTAACATTACAAAAGTTAAAGTTGAAATTAACCTCCTAAAGTCTAGACTCGATCAAATATGGCTAGGTTATAAAAGACTCGACAATTCTGATGATGGAAAGTGGCTTGACATTGAATATAAAAAAGTACCAAGCTACTATGTATACTGCAAAATGCAAGGTCACTATGAGATCTAGTGCAGAAATGAGATCAAAGACGAAAGGATTAAGGCACAGAAAGAAGATCAACTCGATAAGGAGAAAGAATAAAAAATTGATAAGCCAAAGGATGATGGCTTCCAAACGGTTTCAAAGAAGAAGGCTGCCAAAGTAAAATTCCAGAACAACATACAAATGAAAATGTCCAACAAGCCTGATGATCACAGCCATAAAGAGCAGAGATTAAATGAAATTTCACTCCAAAAATACCAAGAAGCAAACCAAGATCAAAGAGCTAAGGCAAGTGATGGCATTGTTATCAAGGAACCAACCGAGGTGCAGAAGATTCACATGATGGAAGATGTGCCGGGTAAAGGGAAAAACAAAGTGGAAGAGGAAACCATACGCAACAACAACTACAAGTTTGGACAGGACATCACCAAAAAGAAGAGGTCCAAAGCTAGAAAAAAGAATCAAAACAACAACAACAAAGAAATCCAAATCCAAAACACTTTCCTGGAAGAAGGCCAACCAAGTAACAAAAAGGCAGACACAGTACATAAATCCTCGGAACAAAAGGCCAGCAACAAGGAAGATAACATTACTCTCCTTGATAATGATCAAAAAAGTAGACACTCCTTCCAGAGGGATTTCAACAATGATAAGGACACTACCAAACTCACTGATGAAGAAGCCAACAGTAGAAAGGACACAGAAGCAAACAACACCAAGAATAATCAACTAATTGATCCAGGAGATGTGCATAACACATATCTGAAACTTATAAGTGGTACCAGCTTGGAAGAGGATAAAGAGAGTGAAGATATGTACATTACTAACAACTCTCACATGGCAGAATCTTCCTTCGAGGATGATGGGGAAGAGGATAGCACAGAAGATGGTGACTATGACGATGAAATGAGCACTGAAGAATCTGATGAGTTTGAAAGTGTATATAGTGAAAGTTTTCAGACTGAGGACCAACCTATAAACCACACTACTGATGAATATGCTGCCCAACTTATTGAAACCTTCAACTCTAATGCTCTAGTGGTGGTAAATGTAAGCTCGAAAATAGATAAAATTGTGGAAAGAAATCACTTATCTCCTAGAGGTAGAGGAAGAGGTAGAAGTAATGCTTTCGGAGGCAGACACAACTCAAGAGGAAGAGGTGGCAGATTCACCTATCAGCAAGCTGTGGTTATACCACAGGAGCAAAACCTCTCCAATTGATTATGATGTTTAAGTCCCTATACTAGAATATTAGAAGCATCAGTTCTAGTGGTGCTCTTGATAGACTTAAGCAAATTATCCGACTTCAAAATCTTCCTTTTATTTCTATTAGTAAACTTTTTCACAAAGCAGACCAACTGGACAAGTTCAGGACAATTCTAGGATATGGTAAAGCTTATCCCAATACCAATAGCCAAATCTAGATCTTTTGGAGTAATGAGTTGAATTGTAATGTGGTGGAGGAGTCTGATCAGCAGATTACTTGTATCATCAAATGAATGGGATCAAACATCCTGGTCACTTCAGTTTATGCAAAATGTGAGGTTGTTTTGAGAGAACAACTATGGAATAACCTAAGGGATATCTCTCAGAACTACAAGCTACCGTGTTATATTGCAGGCGACTTTAACTGTATTATTGATCCAAGTGAAAAACAGGGCGGCAACCTTCATCGAATGTCCGAGAGCATGCCTATGATACAATTCATCATGGACTGTGATCTCATTGACCCGGGCTTCTCAGGCTCACAATTCACATGTGGGTGGGCTCCTAACAAGAGAATTTGGAAAAGGCTTGATAGGGTGCAGGTGAACCAAGATTGGATGAACAATTATGATTCTACTAGTGTCAATCGCTTGATCAGAACAGGATCCGACCATTCCCCCCTCCTTACTAAGAACACATCCCAACCCGCTACCAAGCATTTCAGATTCTTAGACTTCTGGACTAACGAAGTAGGTTTTAAAGAGGTGGTAAAACAAGCATGGGATATAGAGGTTCACGGCTCCCCTATGTGGAAATTCCATCTGAAACTTAAAAATACTTGCAAATGCCTATCCCACTGGTCTAAGACATCTATTGGAAATATTTTTGACAATGTCAAAGATCTGGAGAAGAAGGTGGAGGAATTGGAGCATAAGATCATTACAAACAACAATGAGTACAATAGAGCCGAGCTTATGCGTATTAATGCTCTCTTTATCAGGGCCTATAAAAATGAAGAGTCTATATGGAAGCAAAAATTTGGGATCAAATGGTTTGTGGAAGGGGAAGTTAATTCTAAATTTCTTCACTCCATTGTCAAGGGCAGAAGGAAGAGGTTGACCATCAAGAAGATCAGACTTAATGATGACAATTGGATTGAAGGAGATGATCATATTGCCAATGAAGCTGTATCCCTTTTTCAGAATCAATTTACTAGAGAATATACTGACTCCAATTTCTCTATTCTTAATTGTATACCTAAAGTAATTAATGAAATGGACAATGCAAATTTCACTGCTAATCCTACTATGGAGGAATTGAAAGTAGTTGTATTCTCCTTGAGCCCATCCAGTGCACCCGGACCAGATGGGCTCTCTGGGAAATTTTATCAGTCATGTTGGGACATTATTAAGGAGGACCTATTACTAATAGTTTCTGATTTCTTTGCAGGTAACCAAATTCCAAAAGGCAATTACTCACACCTGCCCGATCCTCATTCCTAAAGTGGACAACCCTCAATCTTTCAATGAATTAAGGCATATTAGCCTTAGAAACTTCTCCTGCAAGATTATCTCTAGCCTAGTGAATCAAAGGCTAAGCCCCCTCATGAACAAGCTGATCTCTCCTTATCAAACATGTTTCATTAAGAGGAGATCCATAACTGAAAATATTATGATAACTCAAGATATGGTCCATAATATTACAAAGCCCTCTATACATAGGAATGTGGTTTTAATAGTAGACATGACTAAAGCATATGACAGAGTCTCATGGGAATACTTGTGCAATATTGTGAGGCACTTTGAGTTCAACGAAACCTGGATTGATATTATTTGGAGACTTATTTCTAATGTCTGGTACTCTATAAATATCAATGGAAGTAGACATGGATTTTTCAATTCTACTAGGGGTTTAAGACAAGGGGATCCTCTATCTCCCTCTCTCTTTCTTATTGGGGCTGAACTTCTATCGAGATTAATGGAATCTTTAAACAATCATGATTTTATCCCATTTTCGATAGATAATTGTAGTCCTATTATATCTCATCTATGCTATGCTGGTGATACAATTTTGTTTTCCTCAGCGGATCCGGAATCCTTGAAGATGATGATGGACAAGATGGAGACCTATGAAAAGATCTTGGGACAATTAGTAAATAAGTCTAAATCTGGTTTCTATGTCAACTTCAAAGATGATGATCCAAGAATCAACCAAATCATGCAGACCACTGGTTTCAACCATTGCAAGTTTCCAATGCAATATTTAGGATGTCTTATCTACATATGGAGAAAAAAAGTCGTTTACTTCAACAACATGGTGGCTACCATAGCAAAAAGACTCCAAGGCTGGAAAGGTAAATTCCTATCCTACGGTGGCAAATCTGTTCTTATCAAATCTGTTTTGCAGGCTATCCCACTCCATATCCTATCAGCAGTTCACCCGCCTAAGACGACTTTCTACCAGATTGAGAAGATCATCTCCAACTTCTTCTGGGGTATGGATGTTGATACCCAATTTTTCCCAAAAAATATTTTAAAATAGCATATATACCTTCAAAATCATGCATTAATAGCAATTGGTATTCTTCCATAATTTTTCTATATTTTTATTAATTTACCCAGCATTTTATTTCCAATAATTAATTACAAAATAGCATTACAAGTGATTTCAAAAGCATTTCTCGATTTAATTTATTGTTTATGGTCCTAATAAGACCAAATTATTTCATAATTAGCCAAATTGGCATCTTTTGGCTATAATTGCAATAACTTCGCAATTATAGCCCAAGCATATAATTTTGTATTGTTTTTATCAAAACTTAGCCATTTGTATTTTTAAATATTAAATAATCATTTTAAACTATTTTCTGTGCATGAAACTCATTTTTTATAATTATTAGCTATTTTGTAAATTATTTTGATTAATTTGAATTGGGTGTTTAACAAATAGCCTAATTTCATTTCAATTCTAGCCTAAATTAAACCAACCCAGACCAAATTAAATCAGCCCAATACCCCAAAGCCCAATCCACTATCCTACCCGACCCAATCCCTGTCTTATCTGAACCGTTGATCAATTTTTATCAACGGACCAGATCCGTCCTTACCATAATTAACCTAATAGTCTACCCCCCCCCCCCAAATCCTCATTCTCTCATCACTCTCCGCCGACTCACCCTCTCATTCTCTCTTAAGCTCTCTCTGCTAAACCATGGCTCTTACTCGCCGGCCGTTGGCTCGCCGGTAATAATGGTGGTTCCACCACCACCCCTAGCCTCCATGGCTTCCCCCATGCCGGATTCTTGCTACCCTGAGGTCCCCAAGGGACCAGCGGCTGTTCAACTCACACCTACGGTCTGTTCCTGCCATTCGCAGGCCACCTTGGCCCGTCTGAGTAAGACCTTTCTATTTCTCCGGCTAGATCCATGGCTTCTAAGCCGGAATCTCTCCATCTCTGGGTTATCTCTCTCTGAAACCCTAATTTATCTCTTGACTTCTTAGATCTGTAACAGATCTAAGAGTATTCTGAGTTATTTTGCTATTTTTCATGATAGTCTCTCCGATTTTTCAAAAACGCCTCTTCGTCTTCAAAGCTAGGGTTTCTTAACCCCTTTTCAAAATAACTTTTCCTCTGATTTTTAGTATTATTCTATGATCTTTTCTATGTTTAAACGGTTTATTTAAGTTGTTCCTTTTATCTGATTCATTATGTTGAAAACCCTAATTCTTGGTCTTAATCTTGGGTTCTGAGAACTGTCCTTGCTTGTTTGTTCGTTTAATTTGTTCGCATGTCTGTTATTCACGAATATGTTCTATGTTTATATGATTTTTACCCTATTATGCTCATTAGGGTTTCTGATTTTATTCCTTCTCGCCTATACTGTGATTATCTCGTTTATTTACAACAATTTGTGTTAATTCTCCTTAATCATTACTACTCCTATTTGAATCCCTAATTTCCTGTAATTGATGCCTTTCACTAATATCTTATGATGATCTCCTTACTGATTTCAACCTCTAAATATTTTCTTGCCTTATTTTGTGGTTGATTATGCTGTCAAATTGATTCTTAGATATTTTCCTTAATTAGAATTTGTCGAACCTAGCCTCTATTACATGCTCTGTACTATGCTTATTTCCTTATGTGTCATGTTCAGTCTTACATGATTTCATTCCTTATTTATCACTACTTATTACCGTTTGAATTTTAACTCCTTAATTAAAGAAAGTACTTATACTGATTTGATACTAATTGATACCTAGTTCTATAATTATTATACAATCGTGATTCTTACCTTATTTTTACCTAGTTTCGAACTACTATATATGCTCTCTCATTAACAGTCAACGGATGAGTTCAAAAAAAAACTCTCTCACACTCAAAACTTTTTTGCTCTCTTTCTTTGATTACTTGCTATTATTCTGAGTTAGCCGGTTGCAAGCCAAGGCTAATTATTGTGCTCTCCTCTTCTTCACTTTGTGTTTACTATCTCTTTACCTGTATGTTCTAATTTCAATTCAAGTCCCAAAACCAATATGTTTCTTTTACTGCTAATTTGTTTCTATCTATGGTTCTGTTGTTCAACATGTAATTGACATGTTTACATTATTGCTTCATCTTGCGTGCTAGTCTAACCCTCTTAGGGCATTTCAGAACATGTTCTACTTCCCTGGTAGTCTATCTCAATGTGACTCTACCTGTTTTGAATGCTTGTCTACTTGTTATCCAGTTTTGATATGCACTTACTTTGCAAACAGATCTGTCACTTTAAATGTCTGATTCTATGATTGGTTCTGAAATTCATACTGTGTTGGTACCACTAGCTATACCCTAATACCATAAACCCCCACAAGAACTGCTATGCTCCTGTATACTATGTACTCTATGTGTCCCCAAATTCCATTACCCCTATTTGTGGTGGCTGAACCTGCCTTGGTTCTATGTTCCTTGGTTATGTATGAACCTGTTTTGGGTGCTGTGTTTGGACTGTTTCTTATTACTCTACTCTCTTTTTCAAAACTATCCTATTGAATAACTTCCTCTGTTGTTTTTACAAAACTATTTCAAACAAGTCTCTTTTCAAATTATTTTCCTGCCTAAACCTTTTCAAAACTGTCAAGCACTTTCACATCTACTCTTAGATTTCAAGTTCTACCCTTCTAATGTGTGACTGCTTAGGGATCACTATGAGATCCCTCTGAACTCTGATACATTAGAGTTGGCCCTTCCACACTGCACTTACTCAACTATGATTAGGAAATCTGGGTGTGAGCACTGTCCGGGATCCCTTGAGGTCCTTAGGGAACTCTGACACACCCGGATTATGTGAAAGGCTGTGAGGCAATATGGCATTGGAAATTCTGGAAATCTGGGCTACTTTCAGGCTCCCTATAGTGTAACTTCTTAATTTTCTTATCCACTTATGTAATTCATTCGATATTGGACTGTAATAATTTGTTGTAAACAGATACTGGGGATGGATAGTGAAAATGGGAGGGTAGCTATGCATGTTATAGACATCAAAGGGGTAGAAACCATGCTTTAGGTTTACATTTCCTATATGCGCAATAGAATCCATGTTTAGGACCAACATGTGCAAAGCATATCATGTATTAGAGACCATGCTCCCTAGGTTTTATTATGTATGCTGTTTCGGCATCTCATTTTGACATTCTTGCTATCACTTAGAAATCCCGTTTCTAGGATAAATGGCATTAAAACAAAACTGCTACTCTTGCACACTTGATAGCATGCTCTATAATGCCGTAACTTTTTATGCATTTAGAAATCCTGCTTTAGGAAATTCTGAAATCATGCTGTGCATTTAGAAATCCCGCTTTAGGAATCTTCCATATAAATCATTTTATATCTCATGTGTGCATATTAGATACCATGTTTAGGTTCTCGTTCATACTCACTCAGCTACGCCTAGTTAAACTACTGATGCATGAATAGGAATATAAACAGTCTCATCCTGCTTTAAACAAATTAGTAACAATCCTGTATCCTGTAAGACTTAGAACCGCATGCTCTTTTAGGTAAAATAACTCCTTTATCGTTCTAATGGTTCTGGTAACTGTTGTATCCTATGCCTAGGCAAAGCCTTAGGTAATCAACCTTTACGAAACCGGAAATTGTTCTTTGTGTTTACTGCTTAATGGTTAATAGGCTTAAAATCAGTAGGCCAACTGATTAGGGCCCCTGCTTCTGAGTTATAAAATAAAACTGCATATCTCACGTGTTCTGATACTCACCTAGACATCATGTCTTAGGATCCTGTTTAACAAATACTGCCTTTATTTGTGTTTGAGTCGTGCTGTTTACATGCCTTGTCTGTGGAGGTAAAACTGAGCCTCTTATTTGCTCTTTCCTGCTTTCTATTTGCTAAGTCCTATGTGTTCTTGCTTGTCGCCCTAGTATTTTCTCCTTTAAACCTAAGGGTCTGTCTAGAACTGCCTGTAGGTAGAGGTCCTAAATTCCTCCAGGACCATTAGGAAGGGACGGGTAACAGCACGCACAGAGATTGCTTAAATAAAACTCGCTTTAATAACTGCTAAGGGGTGGGAATGGGTATATATGGATATGATGACTACGCGCTAATGTCACATGTAGCCCCTCATTGAGGAGTGTTTATCGGGCATTGCGTGGGGTGATCCTGTAGGCTAACCAACCTAGGACCCCTCCTTCCCAAAATTCCCTTTGCCTAAAACTTTACTTTTCTATATAACTTGTTCAAATTCTTTATCTTATTATTTGAGTCATACAATGTCCAACATGCTTTATCTGCAATTATGTGTTTCAACTACTTACTTGTTAAAAGACTAATTCATAAGTATAAGTTCGGTCGGGACCGAGAGGGGTGCCTAACACCTTCCCCTCAAGGTTATTTCGAGCCCTTACCCTAAATCTCTGGTAATGCAAACTAGTCTAAGAGTTAATCGCTCTAGGTGCCCTAATGCACCATAATCCGTTAGGTGGCGACTCTTCTCTTTTAATACCCTTCCTTTAAAAGAGTTGTCACATGTCTAAGCCCGCTTTCGCGAGAAAATGGGGCACGACAATGAATGGTAACAAGAAAAAGAAGCACTGGATTGCTTGGAAAGACATGTGTCGTCCAATAGAGGAAGGGAAAGTTGGCTTAAGATCTCTCACAGACACATGTGATGCCTTCTCTGCTAAGTTATGGTGGAAATTCAGAACTCAAAATTCACTTCTTAAATACTTTCTCGAAGCTAAATATTGTAAAAGGTTCCATCCTGTTGCAAGAAAGAAAGTTCCCGGCCAATCTCATACTTGGAGAAGAATGATGGACATAAAAGACAAAGTGGAACCTTAAATTTCATGGAGGCTTGGAAGGGGGGGAAATATCATTCTGGTGGGACTCTTGGACCGACTTTGGGCCTCTAGCTCATCTGGTTCAAAATAGCACAACTCCTAAAAGAGTTATGATAAAGGAGTTCTACCTTCACGTTGATTGGAATCAGAGTAAATTGATGAGAATTCTCCCTTTGCACATAGTCAATTCCATCAAAACCATCCCTTTCAACAGCAATAGAGAAGACAGACCCATTTGGACCCCGGATCCTTCAGGGAAATTTTCTTGTAAATCTGCATGGCACACACTGAGATCTAAGAGAGGAACTACTCTTACAGGTATTACTGTTTGGCATAAAAAGCTTCCTTTTAAAGTCTCATTTTTTATGTCTAGAGTCCTTTTGGATAAGGTAGCAACTGATGTTGATATTAAAAGATATGGGGTAAATATTGCCTCCATATGTAACTGTTGCTTCACTAACCACTATGACGAATCCACTAACCACCTGCTCAATGAAAGTCATATTGCCAACTTAGTATGGTCTTTCTTCTGTAACTCTTGTGGTATCAGGTTGGTCCAAGGCCAGGTAAGACAGAGAGTTATGAGGTGGTGGTTGACTAAGCCCAAAAATGAAGTCCATAAGGCAGTACTTCAATGCCTTCCTTCAATCATATGTTGGCAGATTTGGAAGAACAGATGTTCATCTAGGTTTGATGAAAAGCACATGTCACATTGCTTCATCATCCAGCAAGTGATCTGTGACGACCCGGCCCGTCGTCACGTGAGTTACCGTCCCGTTTCCCCCATATTATGTTTCTCCACATTTCAGTATCGGTATTTGAGGTGATCGGGTAGAATTGAATTGGTTTTAGTTGGAAATGAGGCACTTAGCCTCTTAGAAGGAAGCTTATTTTGGAAAAGTCAATCGGAAGTTGACTTTGTGGTTAGAGGGCTCGGATGTGAATTCCGGTGGTTCGGTTAGCTTCGGGGGATGATTAGTGACTTAGGAGTGCGATCGGAATTGAATTTGGAGGTCCGGTGTAGAATTAGGCTTGAATTGGCGAAGTTTGAATTTTGGCGAATTCCGGTTGATAGGTGAGATTTTGATCCGGGGGTCGGAATGGAATTCCGAAGAGTTACAGTAGCTTCATTAGGTGATTTTGGATGTGCGGGTAAAATTTCAGGTCATTTGGACGTCGTTTGGCTGGGTTTTTGATCGAATGTGAGTTTCGGAAGTTTTTAAGAAACTTAGGCTTGATCCGATGTGATTTAATGTGTTTTAGCGTTGTTTGACGTGTTTTGAGGATTGGAACAAGTTTGAATAAGGTTATAGGAAGGTTTGAATTGTTGATTTGAGGGGTCAAATGGACTCCGATTCATGTGTATTTTATATGTACGGACTCGTGGCGAGACGAGGATCCCGGTGATGTGAATTTCGTAATTTTTGTGAGAAGTGGGCCCGGGGCTCGGGTTTTGCCAACTTCGTGATTTTGGTTGTTTTTTCGAGTCTTTTCGATTGGGTTACGATTTGTTAGCCTATTGTGACGTATCCTTTGTAGTTTTGGTCAGATCCTACGTGCGAGGAGGTCGATTCGAGAGGGAAAGGCTTGGCGAGCTAGGTTATCGGCCGGCTAGAGGTGAGTAATGACTTTAAATGATGTTCTGAGGGTTTGAAACCCCGGATTTGCACAACTTGGTGCTATGTTGAGTTGAGACACGCGTTCCATGACGAGCGCGGGGTCATTTACTATTGGGGACTGTGACTTGGTCCAGTCCGGATGATATTTTACCGCGTATTAGCAATGACTTATTGTTTTCACCATGATTTGGGCTTATTGCCATACTTGGGGCTTATTGCCGACTGTTTGAACTCTTTATGAACTATCATCACTGTTTTCCTCACTGTTAGAAATATTATTTGAACTCAGTCCATGTGATTTACACTGTTTCTTGAACTCAGCCATATTTACTCAAACTTGGAGTTTTAAACTGATATTTGAACTATTGTTTGAGCTAAGTATTATTGCTTTACTGTTGCCCGAGGGGCTGTTGACTATTTCTGGACTGATTAAGGCCGAGGGCCTTGTGTGAGGGCATGATGAGTGAGGTGAGGAGGCTTTCAGGCCTCATATTGATACTGTTCAGGCTTTCTGGCCTTGTTGATAGCGCTTGGGCTGTAGGAGCCCCTCCGGAGTCTGCACACCCACAGTGAGCGCGGGTACCCATCTAGAGTGATTTAATATTGAACAGTGGTAACAATGACACTGTTAAATGTGATTGGTCAGGTAACAATGACTGACCAGTCAGGTAACTATGATGACCAGTGGTAACAATGACACTGGAGTACACGTTTGGTCAGGTAACAATGACTGACCGGTCAGGTAACAATGGTTGACTTGCTGATTGAGTATAATTGATGTTTAACTGTTTTCAAAAAGGTTTTTCTTATTATTTTTCACTGGTTTCTACTATTATTCTGGAGTTGCTGCTTGAGATAGCATTATTGTGCCCTTGTGGGATTTTATGTTCTCAGTCGTTATTTATTTTTATTACTCACACGGAGTACTCACATTACTTCCTGCACCATGTGTGCAGAGACAGGCACCGCTGAGTTCGTACCTGAGCGCTGATTTCCTTCCAGACCAGGCGGACCGGAGAGACGAGGTAGCTGTCGACGTCCACAGCCCCGTTTCCTCCTTATCTTCTGCATACTTTATTCATCTTCAGACTATGTTTTCCAGACTTGTAGTATATTTGTCACCAACTCTGTAGTAGCTCGTGACTTGTGACACCCCGATCATCGGGCTAAGTTTGGGATGGTTGTTTCCCGTTATGTTACGTTTATTTCCGCACGTGTGATTAATCAATATTTATGGATTAAACCTGTTTATGCTAAGAAAATGTTAAAAGCAATGTTAATGTTTCGGTTGGCTGGCCTTGTCTTCACGAGAGGCGCCATCACGACCGGGTGGGAATTGGGTCGTGACATGATCAAGATGATAAATATGCTTATCCATACGAGTTTCCCAGATTTGCAATTGACAAACATGTGGCATGATACTTACAGTAACATTGAGAAGCTCTCCCCTGCTATCCACTGTCAGATCGTATATTGGCATAAACCTCCAACAAACTGGTTTAAACTCAATACTGATGGTTGCAGCAAGGGTAATCCAGGCTCGGCGGGTGGTGGTGGTCTTATCAGAGATCACAATGGTGTGTTGATGGGTGCTTTTGCAGAATTCTATGGAGATTGTAGTTGCAATATTGCGGAAGCTAAAGCTATGAGGCGAGGCATCAAAATGGGTATTACAATGGGCCTCACAAATGTTGTAGTCGAATTTGACTTGACGATTATTCTAAACTTGATCAAACGAATCAGGAGACCACCCCAGAGATTCAATGATATTATTGAGCAGATTCAAACCATGACTAAGGATTGTAACTATGTCTTTTGCCACACCTTGAGGGAAGGAAAAATCTCTGCTGACATGCTTGCTAACTTGGGTGAAGAATCCAAAACAGTTTCTATCTTCAATGAGGTTGTATCATTACCTATGAATGTTAGAGCTTCAATGAAGTTAGAAGGTGATGGGATACCTAACTTCAGATTCAGACAAAAGAAGAACAAGTTTGTTATCAATGACAACACTTAGCAATAAACTCCTCTCTAGAACCTTTTTGTACATAACATCCATGTGTGTTGCTACAAACTCTCGGAGGAATCACAACCTTCTTCTTAACCTATCTAATTTATTTTGGTCAATTATGTATCATAGGGTGAGTCCAGTCACCTACCTCACTGTTCTGGAGGCCAAGGTCTATGTCTTCCTCCGTGTAATTATGATTTTTGATATATATATAGGTTGGAGNTGTGTGTGTATATATATATATATATATATATATATATATATATATATATATATATATATATATATAGGTTTGAGTTATGCCTTAACTCCTCCATCACGATGATGGAATTGTTAAAATAATTAAAAAAACAAGTGAATTACTAAGTGGCGTTTGGACATAAGAATTGTAAATTTTCAAAAAAGAAGTAAATTTTTTTTCAAGTGAAAATGGTATTTGAAAATTAGAGTATGTTTGGATATAAATATAATTTTGAGTTGTTTTTGAATTTTTGTGAGTGATCTGAGTAAAAATTTTGAAAAACAGTTTTTTCGAGTTTTTCAAATTTTCAAAAAATTCCAAAATTCATCTTCTAGTGAAAATTTGAATTTTTATGGCAAAACACTGATTTCGAAAAAAAATTGAAAAATTTTGAAAAAAAAAAAAAAATCTGAACTCATTCTCACTAATTCAAGTAGCATCATATGATGGTTGATTCTTTTATCAGACAAGGTATATGTGTGATTTGTGAATCACTAGCTAGCTAATGAAGTTGTGATCTTAATTAGCATATGTACATAGCATTCTTGAAACTTAATACTATAAGAGAATTCGAACTTATGAATATTCGTTGAACAAGTTGACTACCTTGATTTGGCACATAATAAAAAATTGGATGGACTTAAAATAGGTCATCAAAGCACGACGGCACTGACCCCCCCCCCCCCCCCCCANATACACACACCCACACACACAATTTAAAGATCTAATTTTTTGTTTATCCAAGTGGGCGTTTGGACATAAGAATTGTAAAATTTCAAAACAGGGTGAAATTTTTTTTAAGTGAAAATGATATTTGAAATTTAGAGTTGTGTTTGGACATGAATATAATTTTGGATTGTTTTTGAAGTTTTGTGAGTGATTTGAGCGAAAATTTTGAAAAACAGCCTTTTGGAGTTTGTCAAATTTTCAAAATGCATCTTCAAGTGAAAATTAAAAATTTTATGAACAAATGCTGATTTCGAGAAAAAAAAGTGAAATTTTTTTGAAGAAAGAGAAAAATTTGTTTTGTCCAAACGGGCTCAGAATCAACAGATAAAGAATCAACTTAGATTAATTTTCATAAGTGCCAAATTTTTCTATATAAGTTAAAGACTTACTATCAAGTATTTCAATTGCAGATACCTAAAAGAAGCAAGATTGCTTCTAATTGCACATATAACTCTGGCTATAGATGATTTAAGCAAAAGATAAAAGGGATCATTTTTTAGACTCAAACTCTATTAACAATTTAACATACCGAAAAAGATAATTTTTTTTTTTTTGGTAATTGATAAAAGAAGTTGCAAATTCTTGGCTCTTGGTCATTGGCTTTTTCTCTTTATTTGTCCCGCATGCTTTCAGTCTCATTTTTCAAGACCAAAATGTCATCATTGGCCAATTTGTTATGTTGTCACTTTCCTAATTATTAACTTCCCTATACATGGAAGGACAAAGTCCAGACCCTATAACTCAACAAATGCCACTAATTATGCCAAAAGATTATAGTAAAAACTTAAACAAGCTGTTAAAATCAATAGAAAACGAGTAGAATCCTAGGAGCTACCTAACCAAATTCCTTTTCTAAGATCTTTTCCCTGTCATGATAGTAACATAAGCTTGATTTGGATCGAATTAATTAAATAATAGTATTGATTGATATGTAGAATTAGAAGAAAAAAAACATACCAGATGATATGTCAATATCCTTCAAGTTAAAAGCCAAAAGGCACGGGGAAAGTAATAATTGGAGTTTTGAGTACTTCAAAAAGAGAATAAGCGTTAGTTGTACTTTAAGCTTTGAGCCTAATTATTGTAGTTTAAGGCTAAGAATGGAGATGGTTAACTACTTATTTTTTTAATCTGT